TTTGTTTTTTTTTTTTTTTACACAAAGGCCTCGCACGTTTTGCAGATCAAAACCAACTATTTCTAAAGACTAGAGGCCTAAGAAAAAATCAAAGATCCAAAACCCAATTTTAAGATGTAGGTAACAATTTGGAGTTTCAATGTGGTCAAAGAAGCCTTGGTCTCGCAAAATGAAAACATTAATTTTAAAAGAAAAAGCTTGTTTGGGACCCACCTAAGGAAATCCCAGCTACTTACATCAATAAGGTGTTTGACTTCATGTTTCCTGAGATCACTGCTGATCTTGGCTGCAAGCAGCACACAAGCACCAGCGCACAGTTTGCGGTTCTGTTTGTTGAGCTTGCCTTGGAGAACAAGCTTCTCGAAGTAAACGTATGCCATCGACACAGTCACTGGCTCCAGATTGCACTCTTCGCTCAGGTTCCGCATCTCTCTCTTCAAGCTGTGTAGGGATAACAGTATCAGGTGCTACGGTTTTTAAAAGATCTTTTAGAAACCTTGGAGGTGGGGAGGACTCATGGACAGGGTCTTCAGCTTCCACAAAGCTGGTGTAAAATCTATCTAAGGCCTATTCGAAAGCATGTGAAAGCTGCTGGGGTCGTTTAACCCCAGCGCTCTTTCCTGCCATGACTTGATGATCTGTCAAGGTCCCTTCCGACCCTACAAACTATGAAGTGACCCGGTCTTCTCAATGTGGTTCCCAGGGGACTTTGGCCGACATGAGCTGATATTTTCAGAAGCGAGCGCCTGAATGGACACGGGGATGGAGCTGCCTTGCTGCATGGACTTTGAAGCCAGCATTACATTCCCAGAAAAGCATCGAGTATATAAATCTAAGAACCAATAGGGAGAATTTCATGTTCGACTTTAATGGCTTCATGAGACCAATTAGTATGGAGAAAATTAGTCCTATTAAAGACTCCATTCGAAGTTTTTGTATTAATTGAAACCCCTTAAAATTAACTTCCAAGAAACCAGTTCTCTTGTTTCTACAGGGACCTGCATTTTCACAGAGTTTGACTCAATCAACCCTTCACTCCTGGGACTCACGGAAACTGTGCCCATGCAGAGGCCTGCTGCAGCAAATAGTACTGCTCCTATGTACAAGGGTTTGTGTGGTCAGGGTCTCCATTTGATATTCATGCAGGACATCAGAGCCCAGGATCCTGCTGAGAACATAGCTAATGGTCATCAGCACTGCAGCCCACAGAAGCACAAGCAGTGCTTATGCTGAAGATTAACAATCCCACTCGCATTTTTTTCCTTCAATTCTTTTAGCAGTAAGTCAATTCAAAATACAATTTCTAAACAGAGAGCAAATGTAGTAATAAGTAACTGGTTTTCTTTAAAGAGAATCACCACGTTGTGTTATAAGCAATGCAAATCTACCTGGAATTCTCTCTTATTCTGCAGGGTTTTTTTATAACAACCAGGATCACAAGATACTCTTCTATGTGTCAGACAGAGGCAGAAATAATTGCACCCTGGGCTGGGAAGTCAATTATCTTTGATCCATCACAGTTTGCAAGTGATTGTGGAGAGAGCTGTGATTTTTCAATGTTAGTAGCGGGTTAACAACAAAGCAGAGTTAATCTAAAAGAAAGAGAGTCTTTTACCCATTCTTTGTATTTGAAGCAGCCCTGCACATGGCTACCATCTACCGCCATCCTAAAAACTGGTCATCTCTTGCCAGTTAACCATATATACTATTAATAGAATTAGTACTTTTTCCACACAAGTGTTAGAGAAAAGCAGCTTGTACAAGAGACTTATACAAGAGCCTGACTCCATCTCCCCATCTGTTCTTTAGCGCTTCTTCCTTACCTTCGAATTTTGCTCAGTGTCAGCTTGATGTGAGGAAACTTCTCCTTAAATGTTTCATTCATGTCCTTTTTAAGGTCCGAAGGCTTCACGTATTCTATTACGGTGGTCTGCAACACAAGGGGGACATTTTCTTTAAAACAACTGCGGTTTGACCGTGTACAACCCACTACCGGTGTCCTTCAAAGGCAGCCTGTGCTTGACACAGACTGGGAAGTCATTTATTAAGAAGCATTTCACACTCCTGCAGTGCTGTTTCTCCTAAGCTGTACTTGATGCTCATGGGTATTACATCTCAACAACCTGGAGGATCAACAGATCTCTCCGTTCTAGGGACAGTGAAGCCCAAGCCAAAGACTGGTGATGGCCCTAAAGTTACAGGGCCAGGGCCAGAGTCAGAAATGCAACCCAGGACACTAAGCTACTTTTCTAGTCCCAGCTTTCCTACAACCTGGTATATCAACTGCATTAACCATTTACATTCAAATTCATCCAGTAAAGGGCAGGGAAGATGTACTCTGGTCACACAGGAGCTCAGCTGTCAGTGCTCACTAAAAAGTCTCCCCTAGTAAACGGACACAGTGGTAGAAGCACTGTAGTCACTGACATGTTAAGTACTCTAGTATACAGATACCCATTATAGACTGCAGCCGAACAAGTCTGCACAAACCTTTTACCTATAATAATGTTTGCACATGCAAAAACCATGTGTGATTTCTGATCCATTGGATGGAGTTCACTCCCCACCCCAACACATTAAAACAAAAAATCTGAGCTGTTTGACTGGACTGCCATTTCATGCCAAAGAGATGCCCCAAAACAAAATCCATGCAGAGTAAAGCCTGTTTGCCTTCAGGCTGGTAACATCAGCTTTATCCACAAGACTCACTACTCCACAGCACTAAGCTAATTGGTAGTTACAAAACACAAATGAACCAAGTCAGAGTAAAGGAAAAGCTATTGTTATCCCAGTGTCGAGACAGGTTTGAATCCTCAGCCTAAGCCACAAAGCAGGCTAGGACTGTGGACAAACTAAATAAGTAGCTGAAGGGGGGTGTGGGGAGGACTTATTACAGTCCACCTGAATTCGCTGTAATCATTCCACTTGTCTGTTTGACCTGGTGGTGAAAGTCAGATTGCAATCATTTAGCATGTTTCATGCAGAGGTAAATCACTGCGGTTGAGCTTTCACTTGCTGCAGGGTAGGAGCACACAGATCAACGATGCTGGTTCCTGAGCAGCAAACTCACCACACCCTCTTCCACCCCATGCACTTTAAAGCGGTGTAATTGTTGGCTTGTTCATGCCTATAACCCTGCAAACAAATCAAGGACTAAGCCACTGACTTGGGTCAGTTTGAGAGGGCAGTGCCAGGGATCTCTCAGCTCCAGCTAACTGGGAGCCAATCAGCAAAACAGCAACACAGCTCTGCAGTTAGATCATTTTTCCTCCCACCACCTCTACACAGCCATTGACCACCATTCTGTGTTATTTCCATGCTTTAGGAGAGTTTGCAAAGCTAATACAAAGTTAAAAGTGCAGTTGTAGAGCAAACCATCTGGAAGAATCAACAATTACTTTATTGCATTAGGCAAAGTAATGGTGTATGCTCCAGCTGGAGGGGCTGGGAAAAAAATAAATAATTCTGAAGCCTTGTGAGGAACACTGTCACTCGAGGAATATAGACAATGGGCAAAAGCGTTTTCCAAGTTATGATACCTAGTCATTTCCACAAGCTTCTAGTGCAGCGTCTGGAAATGGGCCTTTACAGGCTAGCTGGTATAACCATGCCCAGTTTACATACCACTGAACATACAGTCCTTGCATAGTCGCCTACAACCGAGTCCACACTTTGGGCCATTGTCCTGGAATCTCAAATAATAAAATTTAATGTCTGAGGTGAGACGATTCTCAGAGTCCCCTGGTAAACTGGTAATCTCAATACATGGCACTGCTCTCCTCAAGTACTCCAGCCCAACACATAGCTATCGCTATTATACTACCCCCCAACAGGACACATTTCCCTTGCCTCCCCACCGATGTGGCTCTTTGGTAGCGCTGAGCTCCTGTGTGATAAACAGGTGGCCAGGTCAAGTAACCCCACTTCATACCATGTAAGACGCGAAGATGAGAACACGCTTGTGCTTTCCGCAGGGCCACTGAGGATCATCCAGGAGATTTGGATCGTACTCTGTTGACTCTCCAGCTTCGTTTCCTGAAAGCATGGGAAAGCCGATACAGTGTGAGCCGCAAGAGAAGCAAATAGTGAGCTTTAAGAAACAGACACCTCTGGAATCAAACAATCTTCAAGCGGAAGGAGGAAATGGGCTGAACTTCACAGCCTGGGGCAGATGGCATGGTGGACTCTAAACCACGGATGAGAGGCTTGCACTCCATCATGCACCGTGGGCCACATCTTAGACCACAAACCAGCATCTGGATGGTGGTAGTGACTTCAGGTGAAGTCACAAGTGCACTGCTAGCAAGCATATTACAAGAGCCTGCTTTTTTTTTTGCCATTTAAATATCATGTGACAAAGCCATAAAAGATACCATGGAGCAAGCACTCCTGAACACAGACTAAAAGGATGAACCAGTCATACATTTAAAAGCACCCACTTATGGCTTGTGGACAAACTGCTGTAGCTGGTGTTCTGCCGTTATCCTATCAATGTTTCACCTCGGATACATACAGGAGCACAGAAGAGCCCTTCTGTGCGACTCTGGCATGCTCAGTAGCAAGGGTGATGAATTCGTGGTAGAGGATGTGTGGGGGTTGTGTGTGAGGCCACAAGAAACAGTCCAGCACTGGTGAGGCCATGCAAGAATAAGAGTTGAATCTGTTGGCTGAGGTAGAACAGTTTGCCCTTACAGTCTCACATTAGACCAACTGTTTTAATCTGATAACTAAATCCAGTGCCTCAGGCTTCCAATATTCATCTTTCGCGGAGTCCAGATTGTGTACATCGGTTCCTAGTCCACAAGCCATAAAACATGGGGATCCAAAAGTAAAACTAATTGGTCTCCCCCCTGGCTTACGTATTAAAGAGTCTGCATTTGGTAACAAAGCTGATACAACACTCCCACATAAATCTATAATGCAACTGCACTAACGAGCACACATCTGCTCTGTAAATTAAACTCAAGTAGCCAGTTTGTGGAATAAGGCAGGTTGTTTCTACTGTCCCCCATTTTGTAACTGAGACCTTTAGAGTACATTGGTTTCTGGTTTGAAAAAGGAGTTGCGGCATTGGTTTAGCAGTTGGGAAAGGGACACCAGAAGCCTCTTCTACAGGTCAGATGTCACTTGACTTAGCACTGGTGAATCATTTAAACGCTGCTCCTTTGCAGCCCCCCCCAACAATATCAGCTTCCTTACCCATTCTCTTAGGACAGCAGCTGACCAGAACTGGTATTTTCAAATGCATGCAAAAAACAGGAGTTCACCCTCCAGGATTAAATGTGCACGAGTGGGAAAAGCGGCAGCCTCCCCATCCCAGGGGGCATGGCACAGTAGACAAAGCACCCAATTACACATAAAAAGAACCTTCTAGGCTGCTACGTGATTCCTATAGCGTTTGGTTTGAATTCAAGTACACTTAGTACCGTGTTTGTGCTTAGGCACTGTTAGGAGGCTGGGGAGAGTTCTTCCTTATTTCCATGTTTGAACACCTGGGACACAAGTCTCCCCCCTAAAAATAGAAAAATCTCCCTTTACAAAGCTGAGTTTCATCCCCCAACAGGAAATGTAACCAACTGATTACAGAGACAGATAACAAAGTTATGCAGCCCACGTCTTCTTAGATTTTTACTCTCTCGCGCTTACAAGTTAATCGAACTATTTTCACGTTTACCCTTCTCTGGGAATTGAGTGAAGAATGGAAACCTGAGAAATTCTCAGTTTACCAAAGCCTTCCTAAAAAAAGGGTTTTTTTGGCTGAATGCCTTCAACTTTACCCTGGGGGTCTTCAAGAGGAGGTTAGATGAGTATCTAGCTGGGGTCATCTAGACCCAGCACTCTTTCCTGCTTATGCAGGGGGTCGGACTCGATGATCTATTGAGGTCCCTTCCGACCCTAACATCTACGAATCTATGAATCTATGAAACTCCCATTAACTACCTGCTTTGCCCAGGCAGGAATATATCTGCCATTTCATAGCATTATACACTGCACAAAGATACTGAACTACCTTCAACTGGAAGGCAACTGGTGGTCTCACCTATTTCTGTTCCGGCTGGTATGGTTTTAGTTGTTACGGTTTTGTATCTTGACCCTGGAAGACTTCGTGAAGCGCTGGATCGACACGCAGGAACAACACTGTGGTTATCATTTTTGCGGCAAACCAGGGCATTGGTTGGATACAAGAATTTTGCATAGGACACAACCTGAAAAAGATACTGAACTTTAGCAACAGGTGGGGGAAAAGGTCTGCTGACAGCCCCTTGCATTTAGGCTGACAAATGCTTTCCATTATAAAAGTGTCTTGCATTTCTTTTGCAGTAACTTTCACTGTTCGCAGCAGGATGCTGAAATTCAACAGGGAAAAGCCCTGATGCCAAACAAGTCCCTTCACCATTCACCCACCCGTTCCAGTCTATTAATGTTTCAAAAAGGTATACATTTCCGAAAGGCATTGTTTTCCTCCTGCCGCTTTGTCCTTGCAGCGGTTTGGCAGACTGCCTAACAACTGAGCACAAATAGCTACACCGGTACCCAAACAGCAGCTTGGACTCACGGCACTAGGAACCCCAGGACCAGATACATTCAGGCACAAGGAGAGTGCTGGAGAGACCTGGACTGGGCCCTCCACAGACCCACTATGATCCCAGTGGCACCCCATCTTCACAAGATGTTTATCCCCCACATCTCAGGGCAGCTTTTGTACAAGGATCTCAAGAGACTACGCTCAGTGGAGATGTTTCTACGTGTATGAAAGGTGGAAAAATCTCGCTGATGAACAGCAAATAAGGCAGAGAAAGCAAGTAACCCATCCTACAGCAATGTGGTAAGAGCAGGGAAGAGCACTTGCAACTACGAGGTCTCAGTCCTCTGCTCCTGCCAGGGGTCTGCTCAACCACGGCGTGGTTTCTTGGGTACATGATGGGGATTGCTTACCTTGCCGTCAGCACCGAGCTCCACTCCTTCCATGCCTAGAACCATCTCCGAAGAGACAGAAACACCGCCAGAAGGATGCCGCTGCTTCTGCCCTTCCATTTTTAGATCACTGTGAACAGATGGACATGGTGAAGTACTAGCAGAAACGGCATTACTAGTCTAAACGTCCCCTACAGTAAACACCAGACCTATCACAGATCTAAAATTAACACCGCACGGTAAGATTTCCACAATGTGGAAACTATGTGCCTGCTCATCCCCCTTTTTCATGGGAGCATTAATTTTTAAATGCCTTACTCAAAATGTAAGAAGTTCACTTCACCAGAGAAAACACAAACCATTTTCATCCTATTTTTATCCAGCTCAGTACTTACATGCTCACTATAAACTTAACAGAGCCATATATAGTCTTTCTACACACAGGAAAAAAAATAAGCCACCCATAATGTGCTAACAAAAGCTTCAGGCAGCAAGCAATAGCAGCAGACCCATTATCATCACCCCTGGACTCCAATTAAAGTTTTCTGATTTAAGCACATGATCCTAAGAGTAATCCCAACCCTATACGGGTCAGACTAAAAAGAACTGTACTTTGGTGTCAGTCTTCATCACTGTCACCTACTCCAATTTAAATGAAAAATCCTGTCTTTTGGCCAAAGAATATTACTGGCAGCTTACAAGGAAGAGTGGAACGAATTGGCAGCCAGCTTGACAGTTCAGCTCTTTCAAGTGACCTTGCTACTTTCCCATGAAGCAAGGGAGGTTTCCTAATGCCTATTTTTATAGAATTGTTTGCATACAATGCCTTTTCCGCCACTAAACATCCGTTTCCTTCTTCCATACGTTATGCACAGGACACAAGTGACAACACAATTGTTTCAGCAAAGGTGGATTAAATTAAACAATGTTTTCTATAGAGTGTGTGTGTACTAGTAGCCTTCAGGGTTAACTTAAGGCTCACGAGGGACTGCTACAAGGATTTCCTTCGCTTGCTTCCTTAGGCTATATTTACATTAATGTCTATTTTGTATGATGTGAACAGAATGGCTATGTTTCTAAAGCACAGCATATTTAGTTTGCCATAGATGGGTGTTTTCAGTTCTTGATAGCCCACAAGTCTGTGGCTTTTAGTACCTTTACATTTCCAGATCTTTATAGCTTGAAGTAATTCAGAGCATCTTAAAGCCTGAATAATGGCCACGTGGCAAAACTCCAAAAATAGGTTCGGTAATGACAGCAGGTGCCTTCATGTCTATACTGATACCTCCAACTCCAAGCGTACAATAATTAGGCAGTACAGATCTACTGTCAGCGTTGTGAAGAGGGGGTCTTCTGAACAGCTGTGCTGGCAGAGAGCTTTTAGTGCAGACAGCTGCAGCAACAAGACTGAGCTTTTAGTGGTAGAGCTTGCTAGTGGGGAGTGGTTTTGCTCTAATGGCAAAATGGTATGTACTGTTTCTATCCTGCATGCGCTCCCTTGGATTAGTACAGTGGTGCTGCTACACCACGCAAGTGCTCCTACCAACATGAAGTATCAGGCATTTGCTTAGCTGTCTGCGAGCCGTCCTAGTGAAACCAATGGCTGCCTTCATACATATATTTTTGCACAACTCAGACTTTCTTACCCTTTTCAATCCCAAATCACAGGCTCCTTATGCACCCAGGCTCTTAAGCCTGAATAAATGCTGGAAAGAGGGGGTGATTTCATGGTCTCCTTGTCTGGAAAGGCTGGTTGAATACTTTAATTGGCTCAGGGGCAATGTGTTATTTCTATTTCACTTTACTACTTAATTACCACCCTGCAATCTGTGCATGCATTAATGAGTCAGATGAACACATTTAATATATGCACTTTCCTTATGTTTCAGAGTAATCTGAAATGAAATGGGTCACAAGATGCTCTAGCTACACTAACTTATGAAGCTGCTTTAATAAAATCCTGCTGGTGTGTAGCATAACAGACTGATCACTTGGCAGAAAAGTGCAGAAGTGAAGTTAAAAACCTATTGCCTCACCTTATCCGTAAGCTCTCCCCATATGGCAGGATGGAAAAAGCCACACACAAGGTTCGCTTGGCACATATCAGTACGATCCTGAAGGCAGATGGGAAGAGATTATCAGGAGAGTCAGAAGCCTGAAAGTTTTGGACAGCTATAAAACATGAGAATCACTAGCAGACCTCTTGGAAATGTGCACATCCAGCCTTTTGTTAAACAGCTTCTTTAAAGTGCCTAGGATTATTGAGGGATTTATAGGAAGGACAGCAACACAACACCTGCTGCTCTCCCAATTAACAGTGGTCCCACAACCCCAAGTGCAAGAATCTTAATGTCTGAGAAAACAGCACCAGGCTCCTACCTTGGTTGCTAGCAGAAATGCTCAGTCTCAAGTGCTCTAGACTGAGTCAGTTAGCGGAGACAGACTATTAGAGCAAGAGGATGACTTTGGGGATGTTTGCACCTGTGTGCCAGTCATTCAGAGCCTGGGTCAAAAACCTACAGTGCACAGGAGACCATCTGCCCTCATGCACACTGCTGGGCCTCTTCCCTCAGCTCCCTAAACCACTAGGTCCAGAGCATTAACTACAGACAGAAGGGACCTGCGGTTCTTTCAAGTGAAACTTTTCTTCCTCAGATTGCAAAGTGCTTTATAAAAGCAGGCAAGCATGGCAAGCTTCGTTTTGCTAACCAGAAAACAGAGGCACCCAGAGGGGTTATGGGACATGCCCGAGTTCATATGCAACTTGATGGAAACAGACCTCGGGTCTCTCGATATGCCTTCCAGCATCTTGCTCTGCTGGAGAGCACTGCTTCTCCAAAAGGGCTGGGGCCAGACTACAGCCCAGGCTCCGAACAGGAGCTCAAAGCTTCACACACCAAAACCACCAGGCTGTTAATTTTCTTCCCACCCAAACCATACTCAAGATGTCACACCGCTCAACTATTTGCAGTCCCATGCTGGCCATCCCTGGCCCTATGGTTTTTACCACTGTATAGCTTAGCAGCGAGATACGTGTGGCTATACTTCATAAGGCAAGTGCAATCTCAAATCACGCAGTCTAAATGAATGCCCCATTTAAGTATCCAAGAATCAAGGTTTTGGATAAGCCATCCTGTTTCCCAGACACATTCATGTGCATTAAGCTATAATTAAATTCAACCTAATTCTGCCAGCTTTTCTCCCGTCTACTAGACCCACTGAATTCAAGGGAAGAATTTATAGGCAAGCTCTCTTTCACAGGGGCAAAAAGGGATGGTCAAACCTCTAGGGAAGATCAAGTGTTACCTGCTATTCTTTGTATCGTACTGTCTCATGTTCTTGATGAAATGCATCTTCTTCAGGCTTTTATGTCTTGGAGATCCAGATATGTGCTTGGTTCTGCAATGGAAGGAAAAAAAAGGCAATATTTGAGAAATAAAAAACAAAAAAAAGGCAGGTGTCTTTATGATCAGATGGCAGCACTGGCATGCAGGACCTCAGAGATTCGCTTGGAAGAGGGTGAGGGAGGAGAGGACTGGCATGCAACGAGTTAAGATTAATGCTGCTTTTGAACAAGTACCTTCGCGCACTGGCATATTCCACTATGTCTTCTAAAAATTCTAGAGAGCAGCGCTGGGAGATAAAACGCCTTCTGTAAAAATGTACAACACCGTGAAGAATGAACATTATTAGTTCATGGCCTCTGCGATCAGAAACGGCATCAGCTCTATGAAGTCTTAAGATAATAGACCTTTGTACAAAACGTGGCCTCAAAAAATATACCAGTCTCAACATTTTAAACTTCTATAAAAGGCCACGAACTTTGGAGTTCCTAAAAAAAGATAAAAGCTTTTTATTTGCTTTAAGAAGCTGACCTCTTTGAAAGAGCTATCCAATTAAACGAAGACCTTAATATAGTCGGCAGAAAAGGAGAGCCTGCTTGCAAGCAATGCTTTTCAGGAATCAATGAAACTTAAAAATGTTATTTTGAGTGGGTTTTTTTCTGATTTCAGAAAAGCAATATTGTGTGCATCTTGCAATAGGTTTCTAGCCAAAACTAAAACCTTGCTGACGTGGAGCCTGGCTCAATAAGTGACAGTATTAACAACATGGAGAGGTCTATTGAAGGAAAACAGAGTATTTGGTGCCCATTTTGAATCCTAAAAAAAGAAGGCACAGGAGAAAAAGCTACTAGAAGTTTAACAGTTAATGACACATCACATTACAGCAGGGGAAAATGGACACTGCCCCCAAGACTTGACTGCAAGTTTTAGTTATTTACTGCTGAACATTTAGATTCAATTAGGCATTCTGAAATTATACAGAAAATCTTCCGTCAGGTCGTGTTCATACATCATCACCACTAACATCTGACCAAGTCTTAGTATTTTACTACAGTTCCTAATATTCCACATTTTCTTCCCCCCATCTTAGCAGGTACGCCATGCATGCTCAGACAAAGCTCTCGCTTTCTTTCCCCTGACCACATCTCTTAGTTCAGTTCCCGAGCAATGCTGGATGTACTAGACGATTTAGGCAGGGAGGAAGAGGGTGCTTTAAAAAAAAAAAAAAAAAAAAAAGTTTGGTAGGATTTTGAAAAACAATAGGATTCTTCAAACAAATGGGGATTCCCATATCCTTGGAGGAACACAATTAGAGCAGCTTTACATTGAAAACTAAGGACTGCAGTTCTTTCTCTCTGAAGTCATGAGAGCTGCGGTCTGAAGGTATTCCCTTGCACACCCGGTTTCTTATTGATCAAGTGCTTTTACTGTTAGCTTCCTTCTCCAACATTTTAAGCAAGCAGCCACACTTATTAGAAGCCAAACTGGAAAGAGGCAACGGTGTTTAACTCTGGTTAAAACATCCCAGACTCGCACGCAGGCTTTCACCTGGCTGCCCACCTCTGATACAACCCATGCTGCCTCGTCTTTGCTGCTTTAACAGCTAACCAGAATTCAGATCACATGCTCTGGGGTTTCTTTTGTTTCGCAGTGTAGAAAGGCAGGGTGTGGAGAAGCAGGAAGATAGTCGGGCTGCCTCATTATTTAGTGCCTAACTTTTATGCATCCAACTTTGGAAGGGGAAGCATGCTGCAACCAAAATATAGTGGGGGGGGGAAGCTCTCCTTCCTTCTACTTTCTTCTGAACTGCTCTAGAGACATTGCCAATGCTGTTTAGACAGTGCCAGCGGATACCTGGTAGTTAGGCCTTAAACACGTCCCAACACTACATCATAATCATCGTGTAAAGTTGCCGCGACACAACACTCTCCATGCAATTACAAGATCTGCAATGTCCGTGGCAAGCCAAGATCATTTATGACAAGGATATCCGCACCTCTAATTTAAAACCACGCCAGTTTTCCTACTGAACCGAGTAGAAAAGAGTTGCTGTTAATAAGCATGCCAAGAGAAAAGATCTCCAGGCAGTTTTGCCTATATTATATTAAAACGCTCTGTCGGGCAAAGACTTTAAAATGGAATCAGTTATTTCTGTAGTAACCACCCCAAGTAGTTTCCATCCAGTCCTAAATGCATCAATCTATTTTGTTCAAATTACTTAAATAAAATAAAAACAAACCTCCAAGTAACCCTGAAACCCAATTAATTTGTAAGGAGACTCGAGACCAACTGCACTGCTGCGGGTATTTCTTTCCCTTTTGCTTTTGGTGCCCTTTATTCTGTTACAATTAACGAGTAATGGCTTAAGGGAATCTATAACAACTTGCAGAATTTGACATTTCCACCAGAAAGTAAATCTGACAGCTCTAAATTCCCCGAGGAACTGTTGGGATGTTCTTTAGAAAGCACAACGCTCCAAAAAGCACTCCAGTGAAGGATCCTTGTATGCAAGCAGGATGGTAATTTGAAAAGCACAAGACTTCACCTGCGTTACTGCTAGAACCTGGGTTTCCTTAGTAGCTTCCTATGGTTAAGACCCGTGTGTACGGGGCTGCATTTTGGGTGCAATACATCCAGAATCCCAGCAACGAAGCATTGGACCAACCACCTGTATTAGTTTCAGAAACGGCAGAACAGGTGCAGAACCACATCTGGATGGGGGCAGGTGGTATCAGTTGCCATTATATAGGACGATGCATAAGCAAGAAGATTTCAGACCCACTTCTGGATTGTCTACTAAAGCCCAAGGGGTGGTTGGAGGAACAAGCAAGACCACCCACTTGCTCTGCCCAATCTTCAGCAGACGAGAAAAAAGTCACCCTGATTGTAGAACAAATCAGCCTCACCTTGGGACTTCGTTTTCAGGCCTAGCTTGAGCGTAACAAGGCTAACAAGTGGCACTATGCTACTGAAGCACACTACTGTGGGAAAAACTGGTCAAGCCCGCTAAGGTTTGGATGTATTTAGAAGGATGAGCTCACACTCGCTACCTGAAATGCAACCGTATAACCTGCACGAAATCAGATATGCTGACAGGCTTCTATTCTGGGAACAAGAAACCAAACATTGCAATATGAGTTTCTAATCAGGCTTGCTTAGTTCAGTTTTCCATCTCTAGGCCTCTGTCCTGAACCTAGACTTTACCCTGCAACACCACCTTTGCACTCTTTGCTGCCTGATGCACTGGATACTGATGCAAGCAGATGACTCACTCCAGGGTCAGAGGAGACTGGGGTGGACAGCTAAACCCTGCCCAGTTACAAAGATCAGTCTCCAAGACAAAACACTAGGTACAGGTACAAGTGAAGCAACCTCTGCAAAATATCCATGTCTGGTTGAAATGCAAGAGGATCGCTCATTTGCCGTCTCAGTCATTTCTGAGCTGCGCTGCTTTGACGGCGATGCGCTCTGAAGAGAAGGCTGCAGAACCACCTGGCTCCGAGCATCGCTACGCTTCACTTCCCATTTCAGAGTTTCCTGTGAGTCGAAGTCAAGAGACCCCTAAATCAGAACGTATCAAATGGTTACAGCAAAGATCCCAGATCCTACTCAAGAGCAAAGCATCACCCCTGTAAGGTGTCTGCAGCACAAAAAAAAAGACCCCAAATCAAACCCAAATTCTGCTCCACGTTAGCTGCATTGATGCAAACAATCCTGACCCTAAGGTGGGACAACTCTTCCCTTAAGTCTCTGGTGCTGGTAAGATCTGTTCTCTTGAATTTCTTTAACACGAGGAAAGCAGCCTTGTTAGCCCACCTTTGCACTGAAAAAAAATCTGCGTGCTGCCGGGAGAGTTAGTGATGTGAGGTCATTGCATTTTATTTTAGGGATTTGTCAAAATGCCCAATCAGCAGAATTTTGCTATTGTCATGGTATGTTTTTAAGAGTACACTACAGTACATCAATACCTTCTTGGAGGGCAAAACGTAGCTGACTTATTTGTGGATTTTGATGATCCTATCTGCTTTAGGAACTTGCTCTCAAAGTGCGAGGCTTTCTTGTAATAGGAAACCCTGGCTGATTTAACTGCCTGCCTGTTGGGTTCCACCTGATGAAACCCAATTTAAAATGAAACATCCGGTTCCAAGCAGTTTTATCTAGGATGATGTGCTTTGCTTGAATTGCAGTGCATTGTACTGCAAAGTATTAATGAGAAGAGTTTCCAAGGCCCTTGATGGCTTGTACAACCTAGAGACGAAATGATGTCCCTGTTAATGTTTCGCAGGCAAGCCTCCATACTGTAGCATGCCTGAAAATATGTTTAAGTCCCTTCAAGGGCTCTGTCCTTTTAGGATGCTGCAGCTGGACAATTAGAAATCATTTCTCACGTAGCTATGCAGGTTAAGTTTTACACACTTTATTTTTTTGTTTGTTAAAAAGTTTTATGCAGCAGGTGGGAGCACTATCTGTAGAAGAGCATTATTTCAGCTCAAAACATTAATAGTGAGACTTTGCCCAGCTGGAGCTAGCTGTTTGTTCATACAAAGCTCAAGCGACCGCTGTAATTCTGTCCTCACACAGCCATTTCCACCGTCAGCGCGCTGCAGGAGGTCTCCTGGGTTCAGCGTTGTGATATCATTTAGCAGCAGAAGCGCTGCGGACGCCCTTGCCTGGCAGAGGACACACAACAATAGACGGAGTACAACACGTTGCAAAGTTTTTGGCCCAGCAGTTCATGCAGCTCTTCAGTATCCCCGCTGGAACAGGACACAGCTGAGAGCACGCTATGTATAGCTGTGATAAGCTCGAGACGCTCCGACTTGGAAATGGAGAGGAAAAAGCCGCTGAAATCACAGCTTTGGATTAGAGGCTAAGACGCGTCTGAAAAGGGTCTGTTTATCACCAGTATATTGGCAGAGACAGGCTTGGTGCAACACCCAAGTGGCAGGAAAGCAAGGTTTTTGAGGGATAGGAATTTCTTCACCACTTCTCCCTATTTATCATTCCCACGGTCACCGCTGCAGCAAAACTGGAAGGAGAAGGATCTCGTTCAGGTCACGAGCAAGGCTCCTGTCAACCCTGTCCCTTTGGGGCTGCTCTCTTGATGCCCCCTGCCCTGTAAGCTTTCCATCTAAATACTATTCAAAGGGATTGTCAGCCAGCCCCGCTTTTACCATCTCTAGTTGCTCAAACAGCAGGGAGCTGGCTTCCTTCTTAATATTTTCCACATCTCTCCAGTTTCCAGATGGACTTTGGAAAAAAATCCTACAACTCTAAGGAAGTTCTCCATTTAACTCTTGGTATCGTCTGCGAGGCATTTATACTCTTCTGCACATTTAACTCTTAGTATCTTCTGCAAGGCATTTATACTCTTCTGCAGCTTTGGTGGATTCCCAGTTTCTTTGTCCCCAACTTTGTCGGGGAACCCAGTGACTGTGTCTCATCACAAGCCTTCAATATTTCTCCAGGTGTGGGTCTAGATCCAATTCCCCACCAAGATTCACAAACCTGACCCAACTCCAGAACTATTCTCAAAAAAGAGCCTGTTGTTCAGCTTCCCCTGTTCTGAGCATGCCATTACAGGGGAACTTGATGGTCTCCATGGCAAAGCTAGAAAAAAGCCTAGCCTTTGCTCTGATGGTGAGGACAGGCTCCAGGAACCGAGATGTGTCAGCCTTTTGCAGTCCACCCGTAGTGACGTGAAGGCATCAACTTTGATCTTTGTCTTGTTGTAAACTTCTGCCATCGGTTCCTCTATGTACCCCAACAGGATGTCCTTCAATGCGTGCTGCTGTGCTTTTGTACAGTCACATTTGTCACTGCAAGTTTTTCCGTTTTAAAAAGCAATGTCAGAAGTCCTACACGAGACCATTCAAACTTACTATACCTAGTCAGGTGATAAAACAATGCTTCACGTGCCTTCAGGCATGAACACCAACCAAACCTAGCACAGGTACGCTGCTTTACATATATTAAAAGGCTGATCTCCACAGCAACCCAACTAGGTATGTACAGAAATGTCAGTCCCTGGTTTACTGACTTGGGTGACAGCCAGGTTCCTGGGCTTCTTCTGTGAAGAAGACAAGACAGTAAGAGGAAAAAAAGGAGAAAGCACAGGTCCTAGATGATCACAGAGGAGGAGAGGAAAAAGAGGAGAAGAGCAGAGACGCTAACAGTCCATACTACCCCTGCTCTTGACCCTGGAGGGGAGCTGCACACACATTTGGGCTCCAGTACTGCTAGATTTGAAAATTGGAAATGTCAAATTAGAAAACTCCAAATTATTGTGCATTGCAAAAACATACAAATACACACACATACTTTTGGGCTCTTAAACTTTGATTACATTGCCACAAATGGGAGATACCCTGATCATCACTTCCCTCAGTTTCCTCTTTCAATTTGAAGGCGGCAAGGCTATTCCAGGCTAGAATTGTTGCCCTTTGCTGCTACCCATGGCTACTTTGAAAGGCAAGTGTGCAACGTGGCTTGAGGGATTGCACACCCCTGAGGGACAGTGCAAAGACTATTTCAGGTTGGCTGGAGATGCAAATTAGTCAAATATGAAAAGTGTTTCAAACAAAAGCAACCGAATCATTGTGCATTTTGGCCACTTTTGCAAAGGCCAATGTTCCCATACAAAAGTGATAATTATCATACATCTGGCAACACTGATGTGCAAAGTGCATGTGAGCTCAATCACATTCATTGCTGATTCTGTTAGAGAAGAATGCCTTTGTGATGAGCACTGGCGGGGGGAAGAGTTCACCCCAAAACACATGATATTTGAACAAAGACAAAACAGAGGGAAGAGTTGGGCTGATGATCCAGCAGCCGCTAAATTGAGTTTGATACACTGCTCTTCATGGCTACAGGGTCCAAGTGCACTGAAAAAGCAAATCTCAGATTACTTCTTAAGAACCTCCTCTAGCCAAACGGATGCACATTGCCAATGGGATCCAAAGGGAATCCTATCCAGTCCCCATCCTTCTAGAAGGCAGCCACGATCCCTGCAAAAATGCAGTCGGCTAAAATCAATAGCAAGCCTGATGTCCTCTGCAGCTCTTCGAATGCATGGTATGTGCGTGTAGGCTAGAAGGCAGCAGGTACGTGGGTCCGAATTTCACAGTCTGACATATGGGGCTAAGTCAGGATTCATGCATCTCCCTTAAAAGACACAGTATTTGCTTTTGTAAAAAAAATACATCCCCTTTGTAAGGTCTTTTAGCTCCCCAAAGCAACCGGTTAGATAACAGCGAGTTGTCAACACAATAAAGGAACAAACTACTAAGCAGACCCTAGCCCGATGACTTGGCAAGCAATTATCTGGGGGAATCTGCACGAGATCGAGATCTCAAGTCTGGCTTACAACGACAAAAAATGGACCTGTCAGTTCTGTTTAGTCAAAGTCAATTTTGAAAATTGCGTCCTATTCTTTTCTTCCAGCAATCTGACCTGAACTGCTCTTCTGGTAATCAATTCCCACACATTTAAGTGTTGAATCCAAGAATGCAAATAAATTAGTGCAGGATTGATTTAGGGGCCAGTAATTGGAGAGAAGAAATTCCAATTCTCTAAGTTTTTGAAGTCCCCCTCCCCATTATATGGACATAATTGTTTCATGTTTCACCATTAAACATTAGATCACATGAAAAAGTTTACACCGAGGAAAGCACATAATGCACAATTTAGGTTTGAAAAGTATTTGCCATGCGAAAAGCAGAACTATTCACTGCAGTTCTCTCCAAAGCACAAAGCAAACTGTTTTGTTTTTTTTAAACAAAACACACATTACTTTGCTAAGGCTTAACGGTAGACTCCATAACACCTGAACATCTGACTGTGACATACTCAGTGGATTAGACAATCCCTCTGAGATCTCAACCTAATACCCACCTACCATTTACAGGCTATGCCAATAACAAGGGAAATACCTTCAAGCTGCTCAGTTCACACTGCTGCCATAAACACACAGAAGTGGGTGTTTCTTAGGCTTAAACTGCACAAAGTAAATGATCCGATCAATGTGCACGTGAAACCAGTTAGTATTCCTTTCAGTTTTAAGCATTTATGTATTGGGAATTTGTGTACAGAACGTATCTAAAATACCCGTTACACCTGGCAGGACCTAAATGCTGCATCAGGACTTGCAAAAGCTGACCTTGGCACACCTGGCGTGCCTGCACGCAAGTGTGGAGACTTCTCCGATGTGCTGTAATCAGAGCATGTTGGAATGGACTCGATTAATCGAGTCTGCTGGAGTGTGGCCATGACCGCATTCCCGCGTCTCGCGTATCAGCATCCCTGCGCTTCACTTCAGCAAGCTTGAGTTCAAGTGCGGGGACGCTGTTACATGAGATGCTGTGGCGCTTTCATTCGAGCAGCTCTTGGAGCGAATTAAAAGCACCACCCCCTCCTCCCCTGGAGCACGTGCAAGTGCCCAAGGAGTTTGCTTAAGTCACTGGGACTCAGAGACCCAGAGCAGCATATCCTAACACCAGCATGGGACCAGCGGGCATGCACCAAAGGCAGAGTTCACTGGCCAGCACTGAATCTGGGAAAGGATTCCCGGTTTTTAATAGCCTTTTCAATGGGCAAATCCATATTTTGCTTGGTCATGCACTATCATCATCCTCCTGAAAAGATGTGGACGGTGCTTAAGCTGGTTTCACATTTGCAGGACTTCAGGGCTGCTTTAGCAAGTCCCGATGCAACATTTCAGCACAAGAACAGACAAGAGCAAGTGGCAGCTCAGCCCTCTTGCACATGCCTCCAGAGATACGCTTGATTTAGAGAAAAGCTATGGGGCACTTAGTCTCCTTCAACAGTTCTCTCATGATCAGGAGCAAACCCATTCCCTACTTCTCCCCTCCACAAAAATGTGTTTCGCTGCATACAATTTTAACTCCAAGTCCTCTCAACTCTCCACCAGCGTGACTGGCAAAGATACGGCAGTATCGAGAATCATGCTAAGGCAGCGTCCTCAGCACATGCAACATCTGCTCACCTGCAATGCATATGTCAGAGTCTAATAAAAGTGAACCAAGGATTTATGATGCACTTTAAGTGCAGATCTTGTGCTAGATTGGTGTCGATACATAAACATCCCGAGTCCCTGGATAGCATTTCTTACACACTGACACATATGGTTCATTTTTAGCTCAGGACATCAATAATGTAGCATGAGCATAAATGCTGCAAGAGGTGCAGTACCACAAACCCTACCCATTAAGGGCTATGCATGCAGAACTGGGAGGTTGACCCGATTCTGTTGCAGATCGAGGGCAAAACTCCCTGGAGTTTCATGGCACCAGAAGGCTGCTCTGTGAACGTAACAGGAGGCTTGGTAAAATCCAAGTCTAATACATTTTTCTAATGCAAAGTCATCCGAAGCCTTAAGTGGCTGAAAACTCTCCAGAAGATGATTTAAAGGCATTAATCTAAAACCAAATACCATCCGCCTTTACTTCAAGGCTGAATTATTGTAAAAACATGTGCATCCCTTTATAAACATATTTCTGTGCGTTTGAATTAACTCGGGCAATAGATCAAAAGGATTTTCCTCTTAAATACTGCTGGTGGCTGATGCAAGAAGACTAATGTTTTAATAAAACACTTTCCTCCTTGCAGCAAAGGGCACACATACTTTTCCCTTTTAATTAGCAGGCAGAAATGAATTATTTTCTGTAGGCATTAGGGCTGCTTGTGACTGTGTTAAAAGAAATGACAAGTTTAAAAAGGACTGAATTGGCTGCAGGTAATCTGCCATATGGCATGCAAGAATTCCAGTTGAGTAGAAGCCGTTACTGGGCTGTTAACAGAGCAAGGCAGCAGCACGTATAATGCAAGAACTGTTATTTTTTGAGAGGTGAAATGCAAGGGGAGAATGAGGTAGAAAGTATGTCTATATTCACTAGTGCTGTGCGAGGCTCTCCAAGTCAGGGTTATGGGCTATGCAGTTTGCCCAAATGAAGCACTGGCAACACAGATGTTGCAAGATGCAAGTCCTCATACATTATGAAGCCTGAACCCAGAAGTGTAATGGCAAATTTTACATTGGATACAAGGTATCAGACATCATGACAAATAAAAATTCAGTAGCAGATCATCAGTCCAATTGCCTACCAATTAGCTGGTCTAATAAAAGATATCAAATTCACCCAAGGAACCCTGTTTGCCTACCAAGGTCGTTTTAATGAACGTAAACCACCACCTCCTGTTTTGGGGCTGTTTTTTTTTTTTTTTAAAGAAATGCCCTCACTTTGGCTTAATAAAACGGGTTCTAGTGCAGGAAAAAAGCGAATACGCTCTCAAAACGATACACTTTCCAACCAATAAGCAACTTCATCACTGTCTCCAGACTGACTTAGTGTTATCGTCTAGTTAAATACGGTCAGGTATTTTATGAACTCCACATTTTCAGTGTGCACAGATGAAAATTCAGTCTAGGCACCATATCCAGCATAATCTGAGACTTTATGGGATCCTAATTATGACAAGGTCTTGCTTTCCTACCTTCTTCAGTCTTGCATTAGTTCCTAGTTTGTCATTTTTGTGCATTTTGAGACGGCAAAATGCTTTTTTCCCCACAAGATTAGAAGGGCATGGGGAAGCATCTCCCGTGCAGGGTACTACATGCCTGGGTCAAGCTCCTCGTCTCCAATCACACTTCTCCCATTGAATTCAGGTTCTTCTACAACCTTGTCGCTGCAGCATCTGAACTTTATCACTGATTGACAAGCCTCTGTCTACATCCAATTACGTAGCTGGAAAGGTAGGAAAAACCCAAATCTACCCATTCTGAATTGGATTTGTCCCCTAGGGAAATTACTGTCTACTCAAGAACTGAACTTCGTTTTGCACAATGTACATTCATATTCCAAAGTACAGATTTTGACAACTGAGAGCTATGCAATTACCAGATTTACATGCCAATATCAGCAAGGATGGACATCCGTATGGCTGGTTTGCCCATGGACCTGCTGCATTTTTACGTATGTGAAAAAAATGACTTTGAAAGTCAGGTCCAGGATACCGGAAAAAACACAGCTTATTTGGGGTATTTACTAATTGCTCCAATACAAAACCTTAATATAGACGGAGTGGGTATCATGATTTATATGGAGTAGCTAAAGGACCACAGATATTGTAACCACCTCCAACATACAATTATTCTCTCATTTTGCTCACGTGATGAATTCATGCACCGAAAGTTTTGCCAGCACCTTAAAAAGAGGCACTAGATTAATAATAGTTATTCCACTTTAGAAGTGGAACAGGTCATTTGTACCAATGCAGCACTGAAAACCCACCGAATGCATACCCACTTAGCGATTCAAACCCTTTGTCCACAACACAGACGTGGCCTACATCAGTCGGATGCGCTACGTGACCCTCGGTAGCTAAAGAGATACTACAGTAATAACACAGCCTCCTCCTCCAATTCCTGCTTTAATGAGTCCCAGCTGCCTTTGCTCAGGCCGGCCCTGAGACAGTATAATGTACTCTTGTTTGCATTTTAATAGACTCATAACCTCCTTCATTCCTGCCTATTTTCACACAAATGGGGGAGGCTCAGTGTGGGTTGGTGTTTGCATCAGTGAACCTCAAAAACAGATGGCCTAAGCAGCATTAGTGGCACCACTCTGGCTCTATATAATTAACCAAAGCAACATAAAAAAACAGAAGCCTGATTCTCCCGCTGTAGCGAACCAGACTGAAGCATCTCATCACAGCTACAGCTCTGTTAGTGCAAGGATTCATTGTTTACAGAGGAACCTTTTTGCGCTGTTAAGAGGTCCAGCACTGATGAGCCACGCACGTCTATGGGCTGCGCTGAAGCATCTCCAAAGATGGGGAGACAACAAGCTTCGGCCCTGCAGCATCACACAACCACTGAGCAAACTGTGCTTGGCACCGCACATGCCACGAGGCCTCGATGCACCTGCCTCTGGAAGGGCTCAAACTGCCACGTATCTCAGGAAGTCTGAGCACACACACCAGAAGGTAAATGGCAGCACTGAATCCTCGGTGCAAGTCCCACTGCAGGCTGCCAGCACGTAATAGTTTCGTTTACTTTTTAATTTGCTTATGATGGACTGCGTGTGCTGGCATCCCGCAAGGCATGGCAAAGAGGAGACAGGGGATGCAAGGGTTTGGAGCACCACTTACCAATTATGTGCCAACTTAAAAACAAAGGCTAGAAACTGCATCTACAAAACAGCTCGTCTGCAAGTGCTTGCTTGAGCAAGCATCTGAAAGCTTGCAATTAAAAGAATTTTTTTGCAAAAACCTAGTTGGTCTAATAAGAGATATCACCTCTCCCACGAGTTCTGATTCCTTTTGTTTCTAGACCAATATGGCTACAACCTGGATACCTGCTTGAGCACACGCACTTGGCAACTGCATGTGCAATTTTACCTGTGGACAGGTATATTTTGGCTGAGGGAGGGCAGGGGAGGGAACGTGAACCTTAAGACCAAGGTTTTAGAGAACATGCCACTATGTTCCTATGAAACAATCTCCTGCAGTGACTCTTGCTAGGGTTTGCCCCCTTTTATTGAACCCCTGAAGAATCCAAAACAGATGAACTGAATAAGTACTTCCCTAAAGCTTTTTTTATAAGCAGGAACTAAACATGCTGCAAGGCAGGATTAAAGATCCTGACTGGGTTAAAGATACCCCCCCCCACAGCTCCGAGGGGCTCAAGGTCTTCCCCTTCCCTGACCACTTGGAGGAAGAGTCTGAGATGTGGACGCAGCGTTCCTCGCCCCCTCTATATGCTCCTATTCACAGGTGGTGAGCGAATGAAGGCATGCGTGGGAAGGGAAAGGGAAAGAATGACAAACAAATGAGGGATACAGAAGAAATGGGAGGGCACAATAATGAAGGAGTAGAATAAATGAAGGTGGAGGTGCAACAGGCAGCGAGGGAAGGCAAGGCTTTATACTGACAATGATTTGTTCACTATACAGGGTAAAAGTTGTGAATACTGAGCCAGGCTCTCCCTCCTCCACCACCTCCCCACTCACAACCACATTGGGTTAAGGCCTAATGATACTAGCAACAAGCTGGGCGTTAGTCACACCTTGTAGTTTTGGTACCAGGAAACCCATTTAGACAATCGAAGGATTAAATAACTATTATGAAAGCCATCTGGTGCAACGAAACTGCCAAACCCAGCGTGTGGGTACAGCCAGGCTCCGAGCTGCTATCCCCATGTGTAAGCCAACTGGTCCGAAGACTCCAGCTGGTCCTCAGCCCCTTGGCAGAGATACAACCCATCGCCCAGACCCCAGGAAAACCTGGGGCCCTCTTTTCGCATTTCATTTGCAGCTTCCAGCAGCTTCTGTATGTGTGTGTGTGTGTGCAACTGGAAACTCTCCTCCTGTACTGGGCTTTGCAAAATGAAGTGTCGCTGAAGACACAGGACTGAAACACTGACCATAATCTACAGATCTACAACACAGATTATGTCTGAAAAGCCTTCTTTCTTCATCAGTGGATCCTCTAGCCCTGTTCATGTAAAGGTTTTGACATCACTGCCACTGTGACCACAGCATAGGGCACAGAGGCCCAAGACTGTCTAGCAGTACCTAGCTTGGCACGGGGGTAGGAGACCAGCCATTGCAAACAGAGCTCCGCATGGGCTAGCCGCTTTACTCAGTTCTGGGTTGGGGTTTTTACAAACCTGGGTTGGGGTTTTACAACCTGTGCTGTGTTTCACGCTATTGGTACCCAAGCGAGACAGTGAATGCTAGGATGGGTATGTCTATATAACAAACCCTAAGACTTTTTGTTCCATGAAAGTTTGTTCTAGCACAGAGGCGGTCTTCATGCCAGATCTGGAAGGGCCTGCTGCAAGCAAGGTGAAGGGATTAGAGATCTCAGCCGGAAAGGCTGCCAGATCCTTTTAACAAGAAAAAGCATTGGGCAGGGGTGGCTGTCAGCTGGTCCCAGAGTTTTTAAAGGCACGCATACCAGGGCTTACAACGGGCGAGTGCCCCTACAGTACATTTCAGAAGATTGACTTTCGTTATCATCTCACATGCAAGCAGAGTCCTTCAGTTTAACATCTGCTCTCTGAAGGTTAAGCTCTAATAATAATAATAATTTACAATAGATTACATATACAATAGCTAGAAGCCAAAGATTAGCTATGTAGGAGCGTGAGCTCTGTGTTTGAAGAGGTAAGCATGTCAGACTGTTTTTAGCCAAGGGCAATCAATCTGCAATCACCTGCTTTATCAAAAATACCTCGTGGTTGTTACGAATCTGTGCTTGCTTGTGTGACTATTCCCGAGTTTAAAAAGGCACAGTAATCAAACTTCACAGCCAAGATACTTCAAAACAATCTTAAAAAAAAAAAAAGGAGGAGGATCATAGGCATCTTCAGGCATGCTTAAGCTGACTTCCATAGGTTTGATGGTTTGATGGGGGAGAGGGGAGTGAAGGAGGAAGACGGACTATATATCCTGAAGTCTAATTCTAGTTAGTCAGACCAGGCATGCAAGGCAGGGGAGTTTATAAAAAGGTATGCTCAACCCTGTTAGCTAGTTGCTGCTTCAAGTGCAAAAGAGATGTTAGAGTCAACTCATACCTATGGCAAACATCTTTCCCTGAGCCCTGACTAGTACCCCACAAGGGTACTAGTGTGCAAGAAAACCAATGCACAAGGCCGCAATATTAAGTCAGCACTTCCCGTGGATCAGTTCTTAGATTGCCCACAACTCCCCAAATCCTACATCAACAGCCTGCAGCAGTGCTGGGGGGTGCACTTCAAATGCATGCAAGGTGGAAGAAGCATCAGTCGATCAGCCAAGCAGTTGCAAGCTTGAACAGCCCACTTGTCTGTGATTATCAAGAAGAGACTTCTTCTTCCGAAGCGTTATAGTAAAAGGGCATTTGACAGCCTAAACATTTACTCATCATCACATACACTCACAGCTCTCAGAAACTATACAGCTGTTGTGCAGAAGAAGGCCTGTGAACTTGGAGGGCTGAGACCTGAGAGGAGACGCTTGTTCACTGCTTCATATTGCAGAGGGGGAGCATTCTCCTAAGGTGAATCCAAGAGATTTTGTTTTTAAAAAAACGGAGCTCTCGGACTTGAGTTAGAGGTCTACTTGGAAGTGTCTGCATGCTGAGACGCTTTACTCGTTTGCTGTGTGGAGACTGGGGAAAAACACATTACAGTTAAATGTCGACAAATTTTTCTCCGCCTGAAAAAGGGTGTTTGTGCCTGAAAGCCTGCAAAGAACAATTTGCCCAACTATTTAGTTGGTCTAATATAAGATAGCACATCAACTCAAAGGCCCTTGTTTGCCTATCCTTAAACGATGCAGTCAAGCTGGTAAAACCTCCATGAGTCCTGCATCTCTACTTACAGATGTGAACACTGTCAATTATTTCAGCAAATAAAACGAATGCGCACAAGAACACAAAGATAATTAAGTTCTGCTCTAGTAACCTCTACTGATAAGTGCCTGGGTGTGAAGAGGCCACCAGCATGTCTTCTTGCAACTTCCAAGGTGCCCAGGAATTGGCATTTCTGTCTCTCGGATGAAACAAAAGAAGGCTGTTTTGGCTTCTGGCGGTGGCTCCTACAGAACAGGTGAAGCAAGCTGGCATGAGTGACTTATGGAGCGGGTAGAGAAGGGGGAGGAAAAAAAACCGTGGCATACACACCTGTCTGCCACAGCTACGCCCTTTCTACAGCCAACAGGGTCTAGCTGCTCATCCATCCTTCAATGGCATTTTCACAAGCATTTCACAGCTCTAATGAATTCACAGCAAATGCATCCTAGTAGAGGCACAACTGCAATTCTAAATAAGTCTGCATATAGATTTCTACAGACCGAGGACCCAAGCTGCTTAAAAAAAGCTATTGGTCAATTTAGAAGTAAAATGTCAAATGACCTTGAAGGCCAAAAGAGAAACTCTGCACAAAGTTATTTGGCGAGAGTTAATAAGAATGATCCTTCCTTTTATAGGCACAACTCGCAGTATTTTTTTTTCCTTCCCAGTACAACATATTGTTGTTGGCAGACACAACATAGGAAGCCAGCCATGTGAATGCTAATATTTGCACGTGCAATTTATTTGCAGTTGTGGATGCAAACTATATTTGCTAAAAGGAGAGTTGGCCAAGACTTGACTGCTATTTTAGGCCTCGATAACAGTGGATTCAGGACATATTTATTTCCTCCACAAAGCAGCACGTTCCACTCTATTCTGTTCATCCTTGCAGATAATGTTCTGTAAATGTTTTTGGCTTCTCGGGAAAAAATCGGCACTGCCTTCAGAGCGCTATCCCAACCCGGTTCAAAAGTTTTCTAAATTAAAACGAAAAAGCAAGGCAAGTGGTATGGACAAGGATTAAGGATATTATCAAGTACCAAGTGGATCTTAGCTCAAAAGATGCTTAATGAAATGCCTCATTCACAACATGCATGTGAGCAGAAATGGTTTCAAAGAACATGGTTTTCAAAGGAAAAATGGCAGTTGTGCTGAAGGCAACAAAAAGCAACCACGTCAACAATCCCAGACACAGAAGCACCGGGAAGTATTTTCCTTGTTTTGCATAATGAACTAATCCGTGTGCGACTCCCCAACGACACCTAATTGAGAGAGGCATCTAGTAACAACTCTGTTTTAAAATACTACTGTCAACTTTAAGACTATAATTTGTCACTGCTCCCTACTAAGATGACCTAAAATCAATTAATCTATTTCTAATTTATCAGCAAACAAATGTCAGCATCCTGAACAGCTCCCTCACTGCTCAACCAAATGCAGCTATATTTGGGAAAGCAAATAACTCTTTGCAGAAGGTTAAGAGCAGGCTGCCGAGGCTTCAGTTTGGCCCAGATATTTGTTTGCAGGCTCCAAGAAATGCAGAACAGCTATTCCCTGCATCAGTGCCATAGTGAAACCTTATAAATGCATAATAAACAAGGACCTGCAAGGCTGTTACTCTCACTCTTCATGCTTTCATCATTTGGCTATTTTGGGGACCCTCGGTTATCTGCAATTCCATGGCAAGCCCTGCCAATCCCAGGCCCAGCTGCAGAAATTCATTAAGATCTGACATGCTGTTCTGTTCCCCGTTTCCCTCCTCCCTCTACCCTCTTTTGTTCAATGTGTTTCTTTGAAAGAACAAAAGGAGGGAATAAGCTGGGAAAAAAAAAAAGAAAGAAGAGGAGGAGGAATGACAGGCGGAACGAGGAAGCTGGTGGAAAAGCATATTTGCAATTGTAGATACTGTACCAGCCCACTCCCTGGAGAAAATTTCAACCTTCAACTTCTGTTTTATATCTATACTGCTTAGCCAGCAGCACTAGAAAACTGGCTACTTGGATTCATGAACCTCCTCCCGCAAGGACAGCAAGCACACAACCATCAGGCCAAGCATCAGAAATCTCCACCCTAGCAATTCGTCTTCACCACTTGCATGGAAGTTTTAAGATACAGTTGTAGCCCAGATTTAACTTCAGCAAACTGCATGTGGCATCTTGTCTTCCATACTCAACAACCCCCGGTCTGAAGAGTTTAAATCACAATTTGCCCTGCCCTGGCCTACATGGAGCAGTCATGCCAGCTCCTTTGGCTCTTCACAACAGCATTCAAGCATGGTATGAACTTTTCTGTCAAAGCCAGGTCTTAATTGGTGATGCTGTGCAAACAGAGGTACCTACGATGGTCTCTGTAATGACACGGGCAAGTGTCTGGTTATGGCAGGGGTGGGCAAAATGTGGCCCACGGGCCAGATGCAGCCCACCAGGCCATACTATCCGGCCTGCGGAGCCCCTAAAAAATTTAGAAAATGAATATTTATCTGCCCCTGGCTCTCGATGCCTTGCCAAAACTCAGTAAGCAGCCCTTCACCCGAAATAATTGCCCACCCCTGGGTTATGGAATCACTAGTTACACCACATAATCCTCGGGGCACTGGATCTAGTGTGGGGTACATCAGCGTGAAGCTTGCGTTTCATGGCTCAACCATGTTCTGTCTTTTGTGGGAAACAACATAATACTGCAAACACTGAATGAATGATGTGTTATGCAAAATATCTACTACCTACAGTCCAGAGTCCACTAAAAGGAAAACAAATTTCCCTGCCCCCTACCTCTACCCACGTAGTTTGTGAAGGATACCCGTAGTAGAAAAACATGAAGATACTGTGAAACATTTTATGCATTATATGAAGCAAAGCAAGAAGTGGCTGGGGTGAATAAGAGTCACTCCGTTTGGATGAAAGTGAGTGCTCCACCGAAAACATGCAGCAGAGCCTCAACTTCTGCGATGAGAACACACCAACCTCCTGCTCTAACCCAAGGGCTGCGTCGGGTGCTACACAGACAAAAAAGCAAGACTCAGGTCAAGGGCCATAAGCTTAGCAACTACATCAAATGCAAAGGGTATGGAAAGGGGATCTCAAGCCAGAAGAGGGAAGGTATTAGGACAGGAATTTCTTTGCATCATCATGTCACAAGGCCATTTGTGCAACGTGCACTGTTAATCCTTCATTACTGCTACAGGAAAGGGAAGGGCCAGCCCTGAAGTTAATTTATGCACGGAGATGGAGCTTTCCCCACCGGTATGTATGCCCAGGCAATGCTGTAGGCAGCCTTGCCCCTGCTGTTACATAGAGCCCCGGTACCAGACAGCTGGACAGTCCAAGTGCTGAAAGGGACAGAACCCCAGGTGGACACTCACCTCCAGAGGTTTAACTGCCATTTCCAAACACTAAAGAAGGGCACATACTGTTTGCTTTCACTTGCATCCTCCTGGAAAACTTCTCTGGAGCTGCTGCTTGGCACAGTTCCCTTGCGATCGCTGGTGATCAGCCTTGCCCTCCTCATACAGCCATCCTGGCCGGGGCAGCCCCAATCTGTATGTTAGCAGTCTGCATACCACAGACATGTGCACTATACTGGAAGACCCTGCATGGCAACACTGGTGTGTCTTATGTATTTGTACCCGAAAGCAATTTTTGCAACTATTTGAGTTGATCTAATAAAAGATATCAGATTTACCTTGTCTGCCTAATGTCCTTAGATGAATGCGGCTACAGTCTACACCCTGGAAACTATGCCTGTCAACTTAAATTGGGGATTGGAAAGGGTCATGGGAAGGGGAGAAAGAGATGGTCTAAGGTCACTTAGCAAAATAGGATGCCTGTAGCTGATGTTGGATCCTTTCTGTTCTGCCGGTGGTTTCCTATGGTTCATAAGGACACATCCATTACATTCAACCCGCACGGAACAACAACACATGCATCAGTCGCATGCATGTCTGCCATGAGAGCACTAATAACCTTCACATTTAAGCATTATAATCAAGCTGGGAAATTAGCAGCCTGCTGCAGGAACTGCAGGGGTTCGCATCTCTGTGGGAGATTGTTTCCACCTGTCTCAGGCAGGCAGAGTTTACATTGTATGGCCATTTCTGGCATTAAGAAGACCGCATCATCATTTGTTTTAATTTAGAGATTAAGCCTCGGAGGGTTTAGGCCCTGCTTTTGATGGATTTGGATAATCCACGTTTCAGACCAATAAGAGCTCTCTTCAACACAGGCCGGTTGTACTGCTTCACCGAAGGCCACTCAACCCTTTGCTGGGGTTCGCGTGAGAGCTCCTCCGACTACAAGACGCTTTTTAATCCCGCTCTTGAAACCAGTGCACGAACAAGAAGATGATTAGAAGAAGGGACCGTACACAGAAGAAATCAGCCTAGACAGAAAACATTACCGCTCTTTCCAGGACACGTCTATCAACCCAGAGCAGGGCTGGGGACAGAGAATTTGGGGGAAAAGCCTGCCCTTTTCCCCCCCAACAGCCAAACACTTGCAACTGCTCCCCGCACAGGACCAGACCCACGCAACTTCAAACACTCGTGATTTGATTACTGAGTGAAATACAGACAGTCCTCGACTTAAGACGTTTCGAGTTGCAACGAACGGCACTTACGACATTTATCAATTGACACCCCGCTTCGACTTCCCGACGGCAGTCTCGACTTTATGACGCTGGATCTCATGCCACGCCAGCAAACGAGTTTGCTGCGTCGCCCGTCTCCCCGGAGAACATCTGTCCAAACTTCCTTGGACGCTTTCTTTAAGAAAGCAGCCGAGACTCCCGAGAAGACTCCAGCCAAAGCCCTCCAAAAAGTCCAACCAAGAGCCCTTCAAGAAGTCCAGCAAAGTCACCAAAGAAATCCTTCCAAATCAATAGGATTGCTATTTACAACATAAATACATTAATGTAGCTATATGACTCATCTATAATTGACTGAGCACAAAATTCTGGGTTATTTTTGGTGAAAACAGGGTATCGGGCCTGAGTTCAGGAACCAATCCCCCATTTATAACAGTGTTCCTATGTGAACATCAGTTCCAAGTTACAATGTTACGACTTAAGATGCTTTTCCAGGAACCAGCTGTGTGGTAAGTCCCTTCAGATGCTGCCCCGAACCCACGAACGTAACTGCAGTACCAAATAGCTGCGAGGGGCGAGGATATCTCAGGGCACCCACTTTCACTGCGCCGACTGTACTGTTGGGATAGAGTTAGACACACTCCCAAATGCAAGACTTTTTTCCCCACCAAAGCAAGCCACGCACAGCCTAGACGGATCTGCCTGCGACCCACTTCTTTCCTCCTACTACCTGTGCTTTTGCAACCCCTTGAAATATCCCTCCCCCCCTGCAATGGCTTGTTAGGCTGCTTTTGCTTAGAAATGTCTCTTCCCCCTCCCCCCCTTGCAATGGCTTTTTAGGCTGCCACTTTTTTCCAGCTGTGTATTTCCAACCCCTGGAAACATCTCCCCCCCCAAGCAATTGATTTTTAGGCTGCCACTTTTCTCCTGCCGTCTCTTTGCAACCCCTGGAAACATCCTCTCCCCCCTCGCCCTGCAACTGCTTTTTAGGCTGCCACTTTTCCACTTTTCTCCAGCTGTGTATATGCAACCCCTGGAAATATCTCTCCGCACCCTTTGCAATGGCTTTTTGGGCTGCTTTTGCTCAGA